GCACTCGCTGACCCCCGTCTGTATTGACGCCCGTCTCGAGGCTCCCGACTGCGGCGTTGCCCTGCTCTCCCGGCGTGCTTCGCGGCGTGCTAGGCGCCGATGGAGGCCGCCCTACAGCGGCCAGGAAAACCGCCGCCGCTGAAGGCGGGCGCCCCCGCGGCAGCGGGGGCGCCAGCAGCGGGGGCCAAAGCAGCAGCAGCGGCGGCCCCGTCGTCGCTCCAGCTGCAGCGGGCGACAGCAGGAGGGAGTCAGGCTGCGAGTGCTGGCGATTGCGACCAGCTCCAGAGTCGACCCAAGCGCGAATTCTTGACCCTGCGCGAGTGCGAGGACAAGCGACAAATCCGTGTGAATCACTGCGCGCGCATGCCTGCGCCGCAGAATGCAGCTGCTCCACTGGGACAGGAGCGTCGACGGCCACCGCGGGTCTGCAAATGGGAACAAGCTGGGCGCGTTCTCGAGGATCATGGTGGTTGAGGTCTCCTTCGATCAAACCTACGCCCACTTCGACTCGAATGCGCGGGCGCGCGCGGTGCACCTCCACCGCGACACGGCGAAAGCCCCCCAAAGCTTCAAGGTGGCTCGCAAGACGTGGCGGCCGAGGCCGCCGGCCATCATGCAGGAGAACAATCCTGACATCCGTTGCGGGGATTTCCGCATGGCGCTCACACAGACGCTTCCAAGTCTTCGGGGCCTAGGCTTGCGACTGGAGACGCCAGCAGCGCACTTCTGGCGCGGGCTGGACGGCGCCCCGCGCCTGGACAGCTGCGGCGTCTTCGTTCTCAACGGGTATGGCGAGCGCAGCCTGCGCTGGCCGGTGAGCGCCCTGCGCGACAGAGACGAGACGGACTTGCTCTTCGCAGGCAAGTTGGCGATCGGCGAGACTGGGTACCGGAACACAAGCAAGGCAGAGGCCCCCGCAACAGCGGGGGCCTCCAGCATCCCAGCATCGGAGCCGACGTACTGACACCACAAGCAGGGAGGAGGCCCTAGGATGCCGTGCGATCGCTACAACCCCCAAAAAACGCCCGCGAGCACCTCCCGGATTGACTGACTTTGTCCGTGGAATCCCAAAACCAGATCCAAGCGAAAAAGCGCGAGATACAGGGGCGCGCCAAGGCTGAGGCCAAAGGAGACCACCGCTTCCCCAGTACTCGCGAGGTGCTCCTCGCCCGCGCAACGCAGAAAACGCCCCCGGCGGAGACCGCGGAGGTGGGTGGGCGCCGACGCGGCGGCGCCCAGTATCCTCTCTGGCCCAAATGCGCAGGGCCAGCGCGCGCTCGCAGGGAAGGAAGCAAGAGAGGCGCGAAGCGAAGAAGGAAAGGCGCGCCCACAGAGCGCAAGCAGCTGCGCTCGAGGGCGCCGCAGCAGCGGCGCCCGAACAGCACGGGCCCGAGCACCAGGCGCCAAAGCAGCGCCGCGAGAGGGACAAGCAAAACGACCGCGCCCAAATGGCGTCGCGCACGTCAAGGCGAGCAAACGAAGGCGCGGACGGCGACCACGACTGGCCCGCGGCTGGCGATGGAAGGTCGCGGCGGGAAGGTCAAGAGGGGGGGGGGGAGGCAGTTAGGGCGGGGCACGGGAAGGGCAGGGGGAAAGGAGATGATGACGAGCAGGCTGAGCAGGACGAAGGATGACATCAGGAGATGGGCGTCGGGAAGGGGGCGGGAATTAAACGGGGAGGGGCTAACCATAAAATTCCGACGATCCGGCGCGAGAGTTTCAAAGACCCCAAGATAAAGCCTGAGCGTCAGTTCTTCATTTCAGCCCTGCTGGGGGGGCGGGTGCCGGGGTGGCTCGGGGTAGGGGCGGGGTGGTTCCGAGCCAATTTTGGTGGCAAATTCGGAGCTCCAGCTGACTCCGGGTCGGCCCCTCGCCCCAGAAAGCTCGCCCCCCCCCCCCCCAAAAAAAAAACAAAAAAACGGCCGCCCAAGCGGCCCGAGAGGGCCCCGAGTGGCCGCAACATCGCTCCAAGACACCCAAAATGTTCCTCTGACTGCTCCAGAAGCCTCCGACATTCCCTCCGACACCTCCTGAGAGTGCCCAACAAGGGAAATTCAGCCCCATTCCGTTCGGAAAACGTGCATGTGTTGCATTTTCGCGTCGTCTTCGGCCTTCGCAGCGTCGAACACGGCCCAAGAGACCCCCGAAACAGGCCCAGATGTTCTCAAGAGGGCCCGCAGTCGGCCCAAAAACAAGCCCATGACGGCCCGGGGGGCCCTCAAGGCAGCCTAGGCGGGCAGCAACCGCAAGAAGCGCCGCGGCAGCATGCGCGAGAGCCCCCGCAGCAGCGGGGGCCACAGACGCCATGGCAGCACCCAACAGATGGGGAGTGGAGCAGGGATGAGTGGCGCAGCAAATCGTGGAATGGTGGCGAGCAGAGAGGGCGAGGAACGCGAGCGGCAACAGCCGAGCGGCGCGGCTTCCTTGGCGCAGGACCCCACGGTCGAATTCGCCTGGCGCGACATGAAATATGCATTCGGTAGCGGCCCGCGCCCCAGTGAATGGTGGAGCGGCCACGGAGACTAGAGTGGCGGCGCGGGGCACTGGGAGACCAGGACCACCTGGAGGTGGGTCGAAGGCCCCGACGAGACCAACCCCTGGGGAGAACTTGACTGAACCGTCGCACAGGGGCCGCCCCTCCGCAGCAGCGGAGGAGGCCTCATCGGCCGAAAGTCGCCCCTCCGCAGCAGCGGCGGCCATGGCAGTGCAGCGTGAGCGGCGGCGAGTCGCGCACGCCTTCGTGCTCGGCGATTTCTGCCCGAGCGGGACGGGAAAAAAACAATGCTGTCATCGGTACTGTCGTTGCTTCCTCTCCTTAATCGTTTTCTTTCCCCTCGCCCTCCCCAATGCAACATCCCGCCATCGCATTTTCCCCCTTTCTATCGTCTCCAGTCGTAGCGGGAGCTCCCGCGGCAGAAGAGCACCCAGAACGAGCCCCTCTGTGACGTAGGGGGCCCATGTTAGGGCTCCTCTCTGACAGAGAGGTGGTCAAAAAACAATCCTGTCTAATTGCGGCGTGTGTATCATTACATAGACGCCTCAATATATAATTATCCTCCTCTTCCTTCCTCCTCAAGAAGTCACATATACGTACTCAGTGTCATACTCTCTCTCTCTCTCTCTCTCTCTCTCTCTCTCTCTCACAGACAAGCACACACTCAGACTGCACATACTCGAAAACACTTGCAGTCATACACTCAGGCTCCAACTCAGACTCTCTCGACTCAGACTCACTCGCATCAATTCACACTCACCCTGACCACCTCTTGTTATTCCCTAGATCCTGATATGGGGCGAGTAACATTAATTAGAAGCCTCCGACTCATCCATCTCCCTCCTCCCTCCTCCGAACCCACGCAAAATGACCCACACAATTCACAGTCACTCACATAAATGGGCCTTTCACCTTCAGACCTACTCGTCCTCAGACACATTCACACTCAGGTTCGCTCCTACCCGGACTCACTCAAACACAGAATCACTCAACTCAAAGTCACTCACACTCAATCTCACTCACACTCAGACCCACTCACACCCGGAATCACTAAATACTCAGGCTCATCCACACTCCATATCCAGGCTCATTCGCTCAGACTCACTCACTCTCAGACTCGCTCGTACTCGCACGCACTCATACTTAGGCTCACTCACCCCCATGATCAGATTCATTCCAGACTCGCAGATCGTTAGCATGTCTCAAGCGAGACGCTGGTTTCAGGACCCCAAGGTGGAGCCGCCAGTTCGCGGCCAGATTGTGGAGATGTCTCAAGCGGTTTGCCTGCTTTAGTGCTTAGATCCGTCTGCTCCGACCCGTCTGATGTCAGAGAATACTGTGAGGATGCCCCGAACGAGGCGCTGGTTTCAGCACTCCTACGGGGGATCCACCAGGGGGGACCAAGGGGTTCGCGGCCAAATTGTGGGGATGTCTCAGGCGGGTTGCCTGTTTCGGTGATCAGGCTCGTCTGCTTTCAAAACATATTGTGAGGATGTCCAGGGCGAGGCGCTGGCTTCCGGACCCCAAGGGGCCCCAGATCTCATATTGTGGGGACGTCTCAAGCGGTGTGCCTGTGGTGGATTGGAAGCCTTTGCTTTCAGAACAGATCGTAGGGATGTCTCAAGCGAGGCGCTGGCTTCAGCACTCAAAGGTGCCCAGATTGCGGGGATGTCACTAGAGGTGTGCTCGTTTGGTGGTCTCGAGCGGGGCGTTGGCTTCAGGACCCCAAGGGGGAGCTTTCGGCGGCCCGTTCGCGGCAAGATCGTGGGAACGTCTCGAGTGGTTGGCCTCTTTGGTGGCTTGGATCCCTCGGCGTTCACATCAGACTGCGAGGATGTCTCCAACGAGGCGCTGGTTATAGCACCCCAGGGGGGAGCCGCCAGGGATGGTTGCACTCGCCTGTCCGCGGCCAGAGTGTGGAATGTCTCGAGAAAGGTGCTCGGTTTACACTTCCGACGCCTGCCCATTCAGAGCCCTCCAAGGAGCCACTCCGCTGGACCTCCCAGGAGCCCACGAAAATGGCGACTGTTCTGTTCCACTATTTGCAGGAAACCAAGGAGCAGCGAGGTCCCGGCTGGATCTGCGAGTCCCCCCACTCCGCTGGACCTCCCAGGAGCCCACGAAATTGGCGGCAGCTGCGCATTTCGCAGCCAGGTAGCAGCGAGGTCTCGGCTGGATCTGCGTGTCCCCTCTCCGCTGGACCTCCCAGTTGCGCAGTTCGCAGCCCCCGAGAGAGCACACAGGAGGCAGGAGGAGGTCGGAGGAGGGAGGACTGGAGACCACAGTGCTCTACAGATTCAGAGCAGGCACCCAGCATAGGAAGGCTGGGAGAAACTGGCACGCCGCCATAAATCACAACCGGAGCCCCAGATCCGATCCTTCTGCCGCACGGGTTCGAGCCTCACCGATCTGGGAGGGCCCCCAGGGCCCGAAGGCGGGCGACAACGCCCGGCTCGAAGAGGCTGCCTCGCCAGGATCTCGGGGGGCGTCGTGGCGGCGGCGGCTCCTTCGCCGCGCCGCGGGGCTCCACCGCGGCGGCGGCGGGCCCCATCGGGCGGCGGGGCGGGCGCCGCACGCACCTGGCCGGCGGCGGCCGGGCGCCGCGGCCCGCGAGGCGGAGGGCTCTGCCCTCGGCGGGTCACGGCGCGCGGGGCCGGGGCCAACACCGGCACAGCACGAGGCCCGCGCGGGGGGGAGGGGGCGAGGAAGAGAAACAGGTGGTGGTGGTGGTGCTGCCGAAGAAGAAGGAAGAGGCTGCGTACGATGGCGCTGGAGGAGATGGATACTTCGAGCAAGACAGAAATCACGCGCAAGCCAAAATAAAACCGAGAAGAAGAAGAACCAAGGAGAGGTGATGGTGCTGCTGAAAGAAAGGAGGAGGCTGCATACGATGGTGCTGGAGGAGAAGGATGCCGCGATGAAGGCAGAACGCGCGCGCAGTGCAACACCATTGACACAAAAAAACATTATCCCGGCAAAGCAACCTAACAGCGATATGTAGAAGCATATCTGAAAGCATTCCCCTTAAGATTCAGATGAAAATCCAGTTGTAGAATTCTGCTGTTCTCGCAGTCGTAGTCGCATTCGCGATGACAGTCGCAGCGGCAACGGCAGTCGCAGTCACAGCCTCAGCCTCAGCCTGCCTCAGCCTCAGCCTCAGCCTGCCTCAGCCTCAGCCTGCCTCAGCCTCAGCCTCAGCCTGCTTCAGCCTCAGCCTCAGTCTGCCTTCAGCCTCGGCCTCAGCCTCAGCCTGCCTCAGCCTCAGCCTGCATCAGCCTCAGCCTCAGCCTCAGCCTGCCTCAGCATCAGCCTGCTTCAGCCTCAGCCTCAGCCTGCCTCAGCCTCAGCCTCAGTCTGCTTCAGCCTCAGCCTCAGTCTGCCTTCAGCCTCGGCCTCAGCCTCAGCCTGCCTCAGCCTCAGCCTGCCTCGGCCGCAGCATCAGCCTGCCTCAGCATTCAAAATGTGGCCCAGGAATGGAGTTCTGGGAACTAGAAGAACACGAAGTGGCCTACAGTTGGCTCCGGGCATTCAAAATCATGCCCAGGAATGGAGTTCTGGGAACTTGAAGAACACGAAGTGGCCTACAGTTGGCTCCGGGCATCCAAAATGTGGCCCGGGAATGGAGTTCTGGGAAATCCACGAAGTGGCCTACAGTTGGCTCCGGGCACCAAAATGTGGCCCGGGAATGGAGTTCTGGGAATCGAAGAGCACGAAGTGGCCTACAGTTGGCTCCGGGCATCCAAAATGTGGCCCGGGAATGGAGTTCTGGGAACTCGAAGAGCACGAAGTGGCCTACAGTTGGCTCCGGGCACTCAAAATGTAGCCCGGGAATGGAGTTCTGGGAGGTCGAAGAGCACGAAGTGTGTGACTGTTGACGAAAAACGAACCCGGCTCTGTTCCCGGTTCTCCAGAATGTGGCCCGGAAATGGAGTTCTGGGAGGTCGAAGAGCACGAGGTGTGTGACTGTTGGCGAAAAGCGAGCCCGGCTCTGTTCCTGGTTCTCCAGAATGTGGCCCGGGAATGCTAGGAGGTCGAAGAGCACGAAGTGTGTGACTGTTGGCGAAAAACGATTCCCGGTTCTCCTCCCCGGCACCCGCCCAGACCCCCCTGAGGAGTCATGATGCTCTCTTTTGACCCTACTAGAAACCTATCAGCAAAAGCTGTTAGGTAAAAGCAAAGAAAACCACGGAGAATAATAAGAAAAAGAAGGAGAAAAAGAAGAAGACGAAGAAAAAGAGGAACAATACTAATCAGGAAAGGAGAAACAACCATGGCGTCGGACTCAGCTCGGCCTGGGAGGGCGCAGGCCGCGCGGTGTCGCCTGCGTGCTCGGATCGCCGAGCGGCCGGTCGGCTGTGAGCGCGAGCTGCCCGTGCGAAGGCCAGCACCTCAGCTCGGCAACATCTGCTCACTGAGGTTCCAGGAGGCCTCCCAGGTGGGGTCGGAGTAGACAGGGTCGGAGGATCTCGCCGCATCGTCGATGCAACGACGACGTTCGCGTGGAAAGGATCGGGCTACGCATCGAGCCGCATCGCCGATACATCGGCGACGCGGCGCGATCCCCCGACCCCAACTAGGACTTGAGCATGTCTCGGGGGTCAGGTCTGCAGAACACCCCAAACAGACGTCGAGGGGCGCAACCAACCTGATCGGTCAAGCTGACACTGGAGCACCACACCCGGCGGCAAGCCAAAACTTTGGGCATGCTGCGAAGCGAGTGGCTGAATGCTGCACATCTTCGTCGGCTGCACCAGCGAGGCGTTTGACCACCTTGACTTCTCTTTTGTTGGTGGTCCTGCAGAGGAAAGCGCTCATGCAGACGAAGGCGCTCTCTCTCTTGTTGGTCCTGCAGAGGCAGGACCCCGTCTTGGAGGCCCGGAGGCTCGGATCGCCGAGAGACGGGGCAGGACAGCGGCCCGTGGGGAGGAGGTGCCACTCCGCCTGCCCCAGCAGTGCGCCAGGCCGCAAGACTGCGCAGAGGTAGAACGATCTCACGGGGTGGCACTAGACGAGGCCCGGATGAAGGGGGATGAACGATCTCGACGGGGTGGCACTCGATGAGGGGGGATGAGCGACAGGAAAAGTAGGAGGTGGGAGGAGGGGGGACGAGGGGGATGAGGGGGGGAGGAGGGGAGGGAAGGGGGAAGGGGAAGGGGGGACGCTGCGAGAGTTCGTCGACGACAGCGTCAGGCCACAAGGGCGCACGGGTCTCAACTTACCTCTTCTTTGCGTCCGATGGAAGACGCGCTAAGAACATCCCATCCCATCAGTTCTCTGGGAGGAGGTGGTATAACCGTTGTTTGCTTCCTTCTTTCACAGACCCTTCTCCCTCCATTCGAGGAGGGCACCACGCCCAGCAAGCGTGGCTGCCGCGCTGAACTGCCATGATCCTTTCATTCTTGGCTGGTGTGCCGTGCTGATTTTGTCGTGGCTGGACTGCTGTGCGAGGGTGCAGTTGGGGGCCTCGTGGGGGCGTCTTGGGGGCAGTTGGGGGACCTCCTGGAGGCCTCTTGGGGCCTCTTGCGAGCTGCTTCGGGGCCTCTTGGAGGCCTCTTGGCATCTTGGAGGCCTCTTGGTGGCCTCATTGGTGCTTTATGGAGCCTTCGGGCCCAAATGAGCCCAGGGGTAACTGGCCCTCCTTGGCCTAGTAGCACTTTGGAAGGATTTGGAGGCCTCCTGGGCGCCTGTTCGGGCCGTATTGAGGATCTCTTGACGGCCTCTTGGACCCCTCGGGTCGCCACAGGCGGTCGGAAGGCTGAACATGCGACAACGAAAAAAAAACAGCAACGATGAGAAGAGTAATTATCTGTAGTCCAACAAGATGGTAATGATGAAACGGCAAATGAAAACAGTGATAAAACAATACGCAGAAAACAAGAAACATAATAAGAATAACAACACCAATAATACGACTCATAATGAAGATGATGATAATACTGGCACGACGGATAATGATGATAAGAATGCGAACGCTGATAATCGAAACAACACTGATATGACGAATACAAATACTAAAATTAACAATAATACACTGATAACAACAAGCCGCAAGCCTTAAGACTACAAACGTTTGAACGAATTTCTGTGGACCTAACGTCATCCTGACCCCCGGCGCGCGAGGCAATGGCCCCGCCGACCGCCCCCCTGCTCCGGTTCAAGCGACGCGCGCGCGCCCGGGAAATCCGGTGAACCCGGCGACGAATTCCAAACAGGCGCCCTCGCGTGGGACATCCTCAGAAAAACCGCCCCCGGAGCCTCCCCAAGGATGCCCTCAGCCGGCTCCCCTGTTCAATTTCAGTCGACGTCCGGGAAATCCGGGGAATCTGATCCTCAGAAAAAAACACCCCTGGACCCTCCCCAAAGAGGTCCTCAGAGGCCCCCCTGTTTTCAGGCGACGTCGGGGAAATCTGGCGAATCTGGCGAATCTGGAAAATCTGGCGACGAATTCCGTACTGGCGCCCTCGCGTGGGGCATCCTCAGAAAAACTGCCCCCGGAGCCCCCATGTTGTGTTTCAGGCGACGTCAAGGAAATCTAACGAATCCAACGAATCCGGGAAATCTGGCGACGAATTCCAAACCGGCGCCCTCGCGTGGGACATTCTAAGAGAAGCCGTTCCTGAAACCTCCAAGGAAACCCACAAAGGCGCCCCCGTTCCGTTGTAGGCAACGTCTGGGACATCAGGCGAATCCGGCAACTCCAGCAAATACGGCGAATGCGGCGACGAACTCCAAACCGGCGCGCTCGCGTGGGACATCCTCAGAAACACCGCCCCCGGAACCTCCCCAAGGAGGTCTGGGTCTGTGTTCCGTTTAAGGCGACGTCCGGGAAATCTGGCGAATCCGGCGACGAAATCCAAACCGGCGCCCTCGCCTGGGACACCCTCAGAATCCCCCCCGGGTGCCCCATCTGCCCCGGCTGCGGGGCCTGCGGGACTTCCGCAGCCAGTGGCACCGCTGCCATGAAAGCATCGCCAGCGGCTCCGCCGACCTCCTCGCGCGCGGGCGCGCCGTGGATCCGCGCCTCCACGCTGGCGCGAGCCTAGCTCCGCCTGGGGCTCGCGAGCCGCTCGCGCCTGACCCCCTCGGGAGTCGGCCGCGCCGCCCACGGCCTGCCCGGCGGGGCCAGGCCCCGCCACCAACTGCGGCACCAGCAGGGTCACGACCTGTTTTTTCCTTTGAGCCACCGTGGGCGAATCACGAATGAATCTAAGCCATAATCCCAATCGCTAGACCTGTTCACAAAATCTGCTAACCATCTTCACCTCCACGTGGGCCTGCTTTTTGAATACTTCCCAATTCGGCATCCAATCTGCAACGCAATCCAAATCCCGAGGAATACGCCAGAACATCTCCAGATAACCAGTTCCAGGGACAATGCGACCACCAATCTGCTGCAAGACATCCGATAATATCGCCGGTTCGAGCTCCCCTGCAGCTTCCAGCGCGCCCTGCGCCATCAAGGCAATCGCCAATGACTTGCAATCAATGCCATATTCATTTTGACCCGCTATCGTAGAATCGCCACAATGCTCGTCGAAGGTCTGCGTGGGT